TGCCACTAGAGGACGAAGTCTCACGTTTGCAAGATCATCGGAAACATTTTCACCGCGTTCCATCATATAGATCCAAATCAGCATATAAATGCGCTCGTCGTGTTGTACCACGTCTTCCTCACCGAAGTCCTCGCTACGCACCCAACAGCCTTGGCCATGGTGTGCTGCGTCGTTGTTGCCAAACGCAACACGGCATTCCCGAGAGGCGGATATCTTTTGTTCCGAAGTGATACTTGTTTCAAATCAACACGGTTCAAGAAAATCAGAAGTGAACACAACACGAGAAGTAATCAAACTCGGGTTATACCTGCACAGATTTTCCGCGTTCCCTCTAGTGGAGAGTCGGGAACAGATCTTGTGGAAACGAGTTCTCGCTGGATCTTCTCCACCTCGGCAAGCCTTCTCTAATCCACAACCTAAAATGAAGAGTAAATTTGTAAGCAATGTTGTTTCGGCAAAAAATTTAACCAGGTTCTCAAGAACACGGATCTACGAAATGATAAAGAGAAGTATAGCTTTATTAATCAACGAAGTAAACTCATAGCCGAATAGTATTACAACGTCTAGATGTCTAAAGCGTTATAAGAAATTTTGTTGGACGTAGAAAACAAGACTAGATCTCTGATTGCTATCTCAGGGATGCTGTGAAGATGTAACTCTTAGGTTTTCTCTACGTTTTTCTCCCAAATATTCGGGATTCTTGATATACTTGAATCTCTTATTTTTTTATATTACGAGGTCTAGATAATGACAAACTTCGTCATACATGGGATTGTGAAGTCTCTACAAGTCTATTTTAAAAGCCTGGTATTATTTTATATCAAATAAATTAACTAATCTTGCAGCGACGTCATAACATTGCTTACGACGTAATAACCATGTCTTACTTGAAAGTGACAAGTCATTTCTACGTTTTACATGACATAGATAACGTATTGTCAGGTAATAGTATTTTATTGAAAAACAACAAAACAAAATAATGGTAAAAATGCAATATTAAATTAGGAGTTTACAATTTTTTTTATTTTTAGTAAGTTAGTATGTGACAATTCATCAATTAGTGGAATATTTCAAAGGGATAACCGATACAAAATATATATCGACAAAATTATGAAAAATGAAAGTGGTAGAATATATTGGGATTTTGATATGGCGCCACTAGAAGACAAGATATTATGTTTGCAAGTTAATGAAAAACATCTTCACGGGGCTCTATCATAATAGATTAATAGATCCAAATTAGAATATAAAACATTCTCTTATCTTGGATTTATTACTAGAAGATTATAAATCTCTACTAGAAAGCTAAGGTCCTCGTCTCATATTTTATATGAAAAAACAAAATTCAGTGTAACAAATGTAAAACTAAAAAAACAATTCCATTGGATGGTAATGAGTGACATGACACATTACAACATGAGGAATAAAATAGATAAAAACTTTGTTCAAATTAAAAGTTTAAATTCGGATAGCCAATAGCTAATAGAGATAGAAGAAAAACTGAAAATTGTAGTTTAAAAGAAAGTAGAAAATAAATCATAAAAGGTGTTATAAAAGTTTTTCCAAATCCCACAACAAAAAAATGAAGATTATTATTAAAAAAAATTTTAAAAAAAGAAAATTATATAAATAACTTAACGAAATCCAACTAATAATAATTTAGGAAATTTGTAAGAATATTCTCAAAAATTTATCTATTTTTAAAAGTAACTCATGTTTTTAAAAATTAGAAAACTATTTTTTTTTGCAATGAAAATG